ATTCAATAATGTTTTTTCTATGAATTATGGATGACAGAAACATTGCTGGGCTGGAGCAAGTTTTGGACAAAGTCCTTATGTTGTTCCGTCAGTTGTATTCATCAAAAACACGATTATGTGAAAAACGCAATATTCATCGTCAGTCAGTTGTATAATTAATCGATCATTCTTTACAATCCTAAATCCTTTTTTTCAATGAGTATTTCTTTGTCATTCAGTTAATAGATGTTAACATTAGAAAGACTTGTGCTAATTTCTTCATTTAACCTTGTTTAATTTGTAATATGTGTGTACGTGTTTTTGTCGTAATTGGTAATGGAATGCACGTATTCGAATATCATAACATAAAATAATAAATAACTATCTATGATATAGTTTGAGGTATCATCTCAAATCTAAGGTGGACGGACAACATTACATGATTTGATTTAATTAATTGCCGTGTCCAGATCGTGGGACCCAAATTCTATCATTAACGTTAGCTTCAGTTGTTGCCCCGAAATGGATTCAAGAAAATAATAATATTATTATTATTATTATTAATTATATAAAGAAGGAAGCAGGTGCATTCATTCGTCGAATAAGTCCAATTGTCAACTTCCTCAATTCGTGAACAAATCTTTACACACTGTAAAGTCTATGCCAGAGTTATATATATATATATATATATATATATATATATATATATATATATCATGTAGAATCCGTTGATGGCGTAAGATATTTTCAAATGCTTATCTTATTTATTTATTTATATCATCCATTGATGCATCTATTACCTTAACGATGAATGGTTTATACAAAATAGAAAAAAAAACAAGTGGGATTTTCCAACCTTGCATCAATTCCGAGTAAACTGGTTTGAATTTGACAATTAATAGAATGTGCATGCTTTTGACATTTCAACAAGAGCAAGAACAAGTCTATATAATTGGTTAGCTTTTTTATCGTCAGCCATTTTTTTTCACCATTTCGGTTTTGCAACAACATTAGCACAAAGCATGGCTAGTGATCATCATAATATTGGTGGTGAGGCAGTGATCGATGAGTAACAAGCAAGTGATCCTCAGGAACTATATATGTGAGTGGTTTTCTAAAAGTATATATGTGACAACAAGTATGAACAATCGTTAAGATCTCTTGTGTAGTCAGATGTTGCTATCAACTGTCAGTGTATTGTCTTTTTCTTCCGTTCTTAATTAAAACCATTAAAGATTCTAAGGAATCTATTACACATGGCCCATTTGGGGATACGATAATCACTTCGTTAATTAATGTATCGTATGATTAATCTGGGACTGAAGACTTTCTTTGCTTCGTTGATTAATGCTTTTGGCACTGCAATCTTCAGATCCCTGTCATTAGGGTCAGGCACATGGTGGAAATATCAGATGATTAATCAATGCATGTGCTCATGAGTTTTTAAAGCTGCTTTGTTTGATCTAGCCCTTCTACTGTCGCTGTTTTCGAGGACTCTCGTGATTTACGAAGATTAGCTTCCACGTTTTCTGTAATTCTCTCACCAAAGACTTTGTACCTAAAATGAATTTGAAAAAAGAAAGAAATATCAGAAACTCAATCCCAAATTTGTTTTGCCTTAATCCCCATTCCTTTTCCCCTATTATCGTTTTCGTAGCATGCAAGAAAAGTGATTACATAGTTCTGGAATTACAAACGACAACTTGATTGGTTCAGTGGATAAAGAAATGTCTTTGATCGTTACGTTATGTTTTTGTAATAAATTTAATTTTGATTAACGAATAAATTAGATCAATGATACTCTTATTTTTTTGAACAAAAAAATAAATAAATCAAGTCAAATTAACATCATTAGTTGCAACATACTAGAACAATATTAATTAGGTGAAAGTTTTGATTTAAGAGAATAGACTCATATTATAAAAGTATTCATGCTATAGTTTAAAAAACGACTACTATTATTTATAGTTTACAAATAAATAAATATATATATAATAATATATAAATATAATAATATATATAAATATATATATATATATATATCGTTAATAATGATAGCAAAACACTTCATTATTTATTGAGACTAGAGACAATAATTTATTTATTTATTGAAACTAGAGACCATGCAGAGACGCAACTTGCAAGTTGCAACCAACGTCATTCCCACGTGATTCATAGAACAAGAACCAAATCTTTTTTGAAGGATTTGATTGAATAAATTCAAGGCTAATTAATTTATTTATTGAAACTAGAGACACTAATGTATAATTTACGCTTTGTTATTCTACTCTATCTGACACCGTGTATTGCGTTCACAATTCAAAGGCCTCAAAGCAAATAGAGGCTCTAGTTGAATAAATTATAGATTAATCCCTTTAGTTTGAAAAATCAATTATTTGGTCCTTCTTGTTTTACATACTTATTATTTAGCTTTTTTTTTCAATTTTATTTTATTTTCTAATTTATTTTTCTTTTTTTAAAAAATAAAAAAAGAGTAAGAAAATAAAATTTACATTACTAAAATATTGATGAAAAAAAAACATTTTGTGGAATAAAATATATTACATTAAATATAATCAACACTTATAAAAGAATTAAATAGTTATTCTTTAAAAAATAGATAACTAATTAATTTATTTATCCAAACTAGAATGATTAATATTATTAACTATTTTTTTAATAATAAATTTAAGATATTACTATATATCTAAAAGATGTGGGGGTTTGAATAGTGAATTTCACTATTCACCCCTTGCAAATCACTATTCATCACTTTTTTTCTAATTTTTAAATTATTTTATTTTGGTCTTTAAAATTTTAAAATAAAAATTTTAACCCCTTAGCTGATGCAATACATATGTTTCTTTTTTTTTGATTTTTTCCATCAATTTATATTCTTTTTTTTTTTTATTTAACTAGGTCTTAAAATTTTGAAAAGTCAATCATTATTTTTTCACATAAACCGACGATCATATAATATATACAATATTTTTTTAGATTTTAGAATAAATATATAATATTCTTATTGTTTAAAATTGATCTTTTCAATTTATTATAAAAATTCACATCAAGTCAACTTTTATTCTTATTTTTATTTTAAAAATTAACTATACATCTTCCAACATTATTATTTTTTCATATAAACTGATGATTATATAATATATACGATATTTTTTTTAGATTTTAGAATAAATATATAATATTCTTATTGTTTAAATTGATCTTTTCAATTTATTATAAATATATAATATATAATATATAATCCCTTTAGTTTGAAAAATCAATTATTTGGTCCTTCTTGTTTTAAATACTTATTATTTAGCTCTTTTTTTCAATTTTATTTTATTTTCTATTTTATTTTTTCTTTTTTAAAAAAATAAAAAAGGAGTAAGAAAATAAAATTTACATTACGAAAATATTGATGAAAAAAACATTTTGTGGAATAAAATATATTACATTAAATATAATCAACACTTATAAAAGGATTAAATAGTTAGTCTTTAAAAAAAACTAATTAATTTATTTATCAAAACTAGAAGGATTAATATTATTAACTATTTTTTTAATAATAAATTTAAGATATTACTATATATCTAAAAGATGTGAGGGTTTGAATAGTGAATTTCACTATTCACCCCTTGCAAATCACTATTCATCACTTTTTTTTTATAATTTTTAAATTATTTTATTTTGGTCCCTAAAATTTTAAAATAAAAATTTTAACCCCTTAGTTGATGCAATACACATGTTTTTTTTTCCCCATCAATTTATGTTCTTTTTTATTTTATTTAAATGGGTGTTAAAATTTTGAAAAGTCAATCATTATTTTTTTACATAAACCGACGATTATATAATAAATATAATATGTTTTTAGATTTTAGAATAAATATATACTATTCTTATTTTTTAAAATCGATCTTTTCAATTTATTATAAAAATTCACATCAAGTTAACTTTTATTCTTATTTTTATTTTAAAAATTAACTATACTTTTTTCAACATTATTATTTTTTCATATAAACTGGGGATTATATAATATGTACGATATGTTTTTAGATTTTAGAATAAATATATATTATTTTTATTGTTTAAAATTGATCTTTTCAATTTATTATAAAAATTCACATCAAATTAATTTTTATTTTTATTTTTATATTAAAAATTAATTATACGTCTTCCAACATAGTACAACTTATTTATTATGAATATTTTTTTAACATTATAGAACCAATTTAGTAGAAATAAAATAATTAAAATAATTTTTTAAAGGAACCAACCAATTATTCAAATATAGTTTTTTATGCCAATTTTATTAATTATTTTGTAAATAAATATATATAGATCAAATATATATACTTGAAAAAAAAATCTTCTCACTAACATTAAATAAGAATATAGTTTTATTTTTTCATTGGTTAATTTTTATGCAAGTCTATACATTAATTTTAACTTTATTTTTTGGATATGTTATTATAAAAAAATAATTTTAAAGTATTTATTTTTGAATTTTTAATTAATATTTCATGTTTAAATTATTACAAGTTTTTATTTAAGAATTTTTGAATGACGAAGAATAAATCATGTTTTTTAAGTAAAAATTTTATAAAAAAACACACAAAAAATAGTTATCATGAAATACAAAACTAATGAAAAAATTATAAAATTTTAAAATGATTTTTTTATCTACCCGTATCGTTACGAGTATTATTTCAAAAATTAATCTTTTTATCAACATTAAATAAAAATTTTTTTTATTTGTTAATTTTTTTAAAAGTTTTTCAATTAATTATAAATTTATTTTTTTGAAATATAATAAAATAAAAAATTTTAATTAAAAAATTTTAAAATTTTAAAATGATTTTGTTTTATCGAATTCGCAGCATTGCGCAGACAATCGGCGAGTTAAAACTAAAACTTATGATAATGACCCATTAGTCCAAGACGTTAGCCCACTACAAATAAGAAACCCAAGCATCCCTTCAATCAATTCAGAACCCTGACCGAGAAAAATTTCCAATTCAATGGCTTCTAATACTGGTGGTGAGGAAGTGGTCAGCAACAAGCAGGTGCTGCTCAGGAACTATGTGAGTGGTTTTCCAAAAGAATCAGACCTGTACGTGACAACAAGTAGCATAAAACTCAAAGTAGAAGAAAGTGATAAGAATGCTGTGTTGGTTAAGAATCTCTACTTGTCTTGTGATCCTTATATGCGTAGTCGGATGATGAAAGATCTACCTTCTGGTGATCAACCCGAATCCTCTTCCTTCTCCCTTACCTCTGTATGCTCTCCAACTCTCCCTTTCAAGTTTTTCTTGTGATTTTATTTTTTTATTTCGTTTTATATTTGTTGTGGTAGTTCTTATCGATTGCTAATATCTTCTGAATCTTCTTCCCAGCCAATTGTTGGATATGGGGTGGCTAGAGTTGTTGATTCGAAGCACTCTGAGTTCAAGAAAGGTGATTTTGTCTGGGGAAGGACAATTGGCTGGGAAGAATACAGTCTCATAACAACACCCCAACACCTCTTTAAAATCAACCATACAGATGATATACCACTTTCCTACTACACTGGGATTCTTGGTATGTAACCTCCTTGCCCATATCATTTTCTTACGTTAACATGATTTGTTAGGACAGTAATGAGCCATATGCAATGAATTTGTGCATTTCTTTTACAGGAATGCCTGGTATGACAGCTTATTTTGGTTTCTTTAGCATTGGCTCTCCCAAGAAAGGAGAACGTGTCTACATTTCAGCAGCTTCTGGTGCAGTTGGTCAGCTTGTTGGGCAGTTTGCAAAGTTGATAGGTTGTTATGTTGTTGGAAGTGCTGGAAGCAAAGAAAAGGTTGAACTCTTGAAGACCAAGTTGGGATTTGATGATGCTTTCAATTATAAAGAGGAACCTGACTTGGATGCAGCCTTGAAGAGGTAAGTACATATATATGGTTGAAGAAGAGCCAATTTAGACCACCTGACAGGGTTTCGACTTGCGGTTCACCGATCTGTTGATTAGCAGGGTTCTGAAGAGTTTGCACTTGTTTTCACAGAAGAAAACAAGTAGCTGCGAAAACAAGTAGCAATTCTATAGGCTTCAATTGGGGACTATATATCATCCCTTATGGATATTGTTATGTTTTCATTGCAGGTACTTCCCTGAAGGCATAGACATTTACTTTGAGAATGTTGGGGGAAAATGCTGGATGCAGCCCTTCTAAACATGAGATTCCATGGCCGCATTGCTTTGTGTGGAATGATCTCTCAATACAACATTGAGCAGCCTGAAAGCTTGCAAAACATAACCGCTGTACTTCTTAAGCAGGTCCGGATGGAAGGGTTTGCGGCTTTCGAGTACTATGATCAATACTCCAAGTTCTTGGATTTTGTTCTGCCTTATCTCAAAGAAGGGAAGCTTGTTTATGTGGAAGACATAACTGAAGGACTCGAGAGTGGTCCTGCTGCTCTGACAGGCCTTTTCGGAGGCCGCAATGTAGGCAAGCAAGTAGTGAAAGTTGCCCAGGAGTGATCCTTCTCCAGTGCCATTGTTTTTCTTACATGCTATGTTACTGTCCCTATTAGCTGTAAAAAATAAAATAAAATAAACTAAAATAAAAACCTTTGACATTTGAATAAGGCATTGGATCATTGTCCTGCATTTTTGTTTTTAAAATACACCAAAATAGCATTTAAGATTACGCCATGAAATTTCAGATTCTAATAATAAATATTGACGTTGTAAAAAATGTTTTCTTGACTAAACATTGCTTGGATGCATTGGCAAAAAATACTAGAGGACTAATGGGCTCCTATAACATTTGATATTATAGGCCCATCATTAGGTGTAAGTTTTAATTCATGCATCAGGTCCATATTCAAAAATAATTTCAGGTTCTCCTTTTAAATCGACGGATCCATATTCTAAATTAAGAAAATCATGGTAGGATATAGACTAGAGTAAATTATAAACTAGTCCCTTTATTTTATAAAAAGAATTAATTAGTCTATCTTATTTTAAAAAATAATTATTTAATCCTTTAACTAGTATTGAGAGTGCTTAATTTAATATGAATTTAGCCTAAAAAATGTCTTTTTTCTCATAAATCTTTTCATAATATCTTCTTTGTTTTCTATTTCTTAAAGAAACAATTTCGAAAAAGGCATAAAATGAATAAAAATGACTAAATAATTAGTTTTTGAAACTGGAGGAACTAATTAATTTGTTCTCAAAATTAGGGAGACTAATTTATAATTTACTCTTACAGACGATAGTCAGCACTTAGATCATGATTAGGACTAGAATCAGCACTTACATCATCAGCAAATCAACAGTGTCTCTCTGTAATCTACATGATTAAAGGATAATAGACAAGCAAGTTTTAACCTTCGGACACAACTGCGCATCGCAGGTAAGGGACTAATACAGTGCATATGTTAAGTGCAAGACATTAACTTGGTCAGAAGGTCTAAAATTTGGTCGGTATCATGCATATATAAAAGAAAATCATGGTAGGCCTCTATACGCTAGAGTAATTTATAAAGTAGTCCCTTTATTTTATAAAAAAGAATTAATTAGTCTATTTTATTTCAAAAAATAATTATTTAATTCTTTAACTAGTGTTGAATATGCTTAATTTAATATTAATTAATTCTTAAAACTATGTTTTTTTCTCATAAATCTTTCCATAATATCTTTTTTTTATTATTAAAGAAACAATTTCGAAAAAGGCATAAAATAAACAAAAAGGACTAAATAATTAGCTTTTGAAGCTGGAGGAACTAATTAATTTGTTCTCAAAATTAGGGAGACTAATTTATAATTTACTCTTACAGATGATATCAGCACATAGATCATGATTAGCACTAGAATCAGCACTTACATCATCAGCAAATCAACAGTGCCTCTGCATAATCTACATGATTAAAGGATAATACACAAGCAAGTTTTAACCCTCCAACACAACTACACATAGCCGTTAAGGGACCAAAACTAATAATGTTTACAACATCTGCATCAATGAGAGGAAACTAGTTTGAATTTGACATTATTAACATGGGATTAATCGAATTAGTCAAAAAAATAAAAATAAATAACTAATGTGCAATTGACTTTACAAGAGAGGAGTTAGGTAGCTCATATGTCTATATAATATGTTGCCTTTTGCAACCTCGTTGATCATCATCAGCAATATCTTTTCATCATTTTGTTTATGAAACAACATTAGCAAAAAGCATGGCTAGTACTTGTAATATTGGTGGTGAGGAAGTGGTGAGCAACAAGCAAGTGCTGCTTAGGGACTATGTGAGCGGTTTTCCAAAAGAATCAGACCTCTATATGACTACAAGTACCGTAAAACTCAAAGTAGGAGAAGAAGAAGAAAATGGTAAAAATGCTGTGTTGGTTAAGAATCTCTACTTGTCTTGTGATCCTTTCATGCGTGGTCGCATGCAGAGAGATTTGCCTTCTGGTGAACCTGAATTCTCTTCCTATTCTCTTGGCTCTGTATGCTCTCTAACTCTCCCTTTCTTGTTCTACTTGTGATTTTTTTTTTTTTAATCGATTGAGGTCAATTGACCAATTTTTTGTTTTTGTTTTTTGTTTTTCCTCACAAATATAAAGGGCAGAAGAGGGTTTTTCCTTAAAAATTATTTTCTCAAAATAGCAAAGTCTACAAGTTAAGGAATATATTTCAATTTCTTTTTTTTTCTTTAAAAAAAATGGCTTGTTGTATCTTTAATTATATAATGGAGTAAGTATTCAATTTGTGATTATATTCTACAATTAGCTAATTATATCTATGCATTTTAAGTAAATTTTCAATCTAATTATTTTTTTGGACAAAACTATCAAAAAATATTAAGTGATTTATACATAATAAATTTTATTTCAAAAATACCCATAAATTGAAGTGATATGTGTAAGTTACCAAGCCATCACCATTCACTCTCTCACTTTGGCCGAACCTGACCAATGATAAGCACTAGGCTATTTTTTCCTTCATCCCTCCTTCCTCTCCTTCCATTCACCTGCAAGAAACCCACCCAAAATCACCCTAAACACAACCAGTCCTATCACTTTTTCAGCCAGTCTCAAAATTTTTATTTTTCGATCAAAACCTTATATTTCACCGAAAATCAAGACCTAACACATGTCGGTGTATACACTTTCACCTTCCTTTCACTTTTTTTTCAAGCCAACATCGAGTCTTAAACAGCCACCCATCATCAAACATGCCACTTTCTTTCAATTTCCGACCACCTAATAGACCATTTAATTATCAAAACTCAAACCTAACACTACAAACTTGTAACTTTTCATTCGGAAAAATGGGGTTTGGTACTTGACAATGTGATGACTTATACGTTTTCATTTAGTTAAAAGGTATTTTTGACGTAAAATTGATTATGTATAAATTATATGATATTTTTTTTATGATTTTATCAAAAAATATTATCGAATAACAGATTGAAATCTCGTTTTAAATAAAAAGATATAATTGGTTCAGTTTAAAATATAAGATAGATAGTTTTCCTACTTATGTATGTACTCCATCAAGGTTTTTTTTTTTTTTTTTTTTTTTTAAAAAAAAAACAAATTTCATGAGAAAAATATTGAAATTTTCTAAAATTACTCCATTTGCCTCATACAAAGTGTCCAAGTTTGTAAGTTGTAAATCTAATTATGAAGAAAAGCACAAAGGGTGGTCTAACCTAGTTGCTGAATTTTCTTAATTAATCTTGTTGAAATTGAGCAGCCAATCGTTGGATATGGAGTGGCTAGAGTCATTGATTCTAGTCACCATGACTTCAAGAAAGGTGATTTGGTATGGGGAAGGACAATTGGTTGGGAAGAATACAGTCTACTAACAACACCTCAATACCTCTTTAAAATTCATCATACTGATGATGTACCCCTTTCCTACTATACTGGAATTCTTGGTACGTAAGCACTTTTCCCATTTCATCATTTTCTAATGCTATTTCTTTTTAATTAAATTATAATTTATTTCTTGTATTTTCTTATGATTTTGTAAGTTAGATCTTGTGGTTTTGAAAATCATAAAGTTAAGTATATTCTTTTTTTCAAAAAGAAGAAGAAGATGATGAATGTAAACTCTTTCTGAAATTTCTAAATTAGCCTATTTAATTTTTTTTTTTTTTTTTGGTAGTAAGTAAGATTGTAGGATTTGATTAGAAATGATGTAAATTTTAAGAAAGAAAATAATTAAATTATCATGGAAAGACGATACAAAAACTATATTACAAACAAATATGAAAAATCGACATAAGGATTAACTAATTATTTTACTAGAAATACAACAAGTACAATAATATATTACTGTTATTATTATTATTATTATTAGGCATTAATGAGCCATATTTTATTAATTAATTTGTGCAAATTTTAATTTGCTTTTACAGGAATGCCTGGTTTGACCGCTTATGTTGGCTTCTTTAACATTTGTTCTCCCAAGAAAGGAGAGTTTGTCTACATTTCAGCAGCTTCTGGTGCAGTTGGTCAGCTTGTTGGGCAGTTTGCAAAGTTGATAGGTTGTTATGTTGTTGGAAGTGCTGGAAGTAAAGAGAAGGTTAGACCGGCAATATAACTCATGTTTACATATATCATATTTCTAAATAACCGTTGTTATGTAATGAAATGATCGTTGTTTAATGAATTCGGATCGACATGTTTGTTTCAGTTACATGACATTAGAAAAAGCTCAACATAGTTTATTTAAATAATTACAATGACAGCCGTTATTGTAGTTATTTGGTGAATAATAACGTTATATTATCGTTAAAAAAATATTTTTGATTTTTTATTTTAAAATAAATTTATTAGCAACTATTAATGTATTTTCAATTTTGATCGTTGTAACCATTTTTTTATAATTGTGATAAAATATAAATATTTTACAATTGCATCCACAATAAATTCAATGTTTTTTTTACCTTCTTGTTTTGCATGTATATGTTATATAGGTTGAACTATTGAAGACCAAGTTTGGATTTGATGATGCTTTCAACTATAAAGAAGAATGTGACTTGGATGCAGCCTTGAAAAGGTCAGTATACGTTATTGAATCAATCATGCAAACAATTAGGAGCTTAATAGATCAACAATCCATCATGGTTTAATTTGTTTCCATAACCAGGTACTTCCCTGAAGGCATAGACATTTACTTTGACAACGTGGGAGGGAAAATGCTTGATTCAGTCCTTCTAAACATGAGACGCAATGGCCGGATTGCTATCTGTGGAATGATATCGCAATACAATCTTGAGAAGCCTGAAAGCATGCAGAACTTGATCAATGTTCTTTATAAGCAGATTAGGATGGAAGGCTTTGCGGTTAATGGGCACTATGACCAATACTCCAAGTTCTTGGATTTTGTTCTGCCTTATGTCAGAGAAGGGAAGATTGTTTATGTGGAAGACATAACCGAAGGACTCGAGACTGGCCCTGCTGCTCTGGTAGGCCTTTTCGGTGGCCGCAATGTAGGCAAGCAAGTAGTGAAGGTTGCCGAGGAGTGATCAGTCTCCCTTTGCATTTCGTCTTGCCAATGCCATTTTGGGTCATTCATGTTATGTTATACTCTCAGTAGTTGTAAAAAAAAAAAAAAAAGATATTTGAATAAGGCATTGGATCATCGTCCTGAATAGCAACGCAGTTATGTCATATGTGGCTAGAAAGCTGATTTGTCCTATGGAATTCAAAGTTGAGATTTTTGATTTTGCATTTGTATTCGGATCAGAAGACACGAATTGTTGTTCGAGAATTTTATCTCAATTTTGGAAATTAAATTTTGCAAAAAAATAATTATCAACCCAAATACATAAGTGTTAGAGAGTAATATAAAATTATTTTTAAAATCTTACATAATATATTAAACTTTTAAGTTCAAATAATCTTTTAACATAATATCAAATCATTCTAATCAAACTATTGATGTCACATGTCAATCACTAATTAATACTGTTATCATAGAAAATTTGAAATAAAAAATATTGAAGCTTGGAGGATCTCAATGAAGTCAAAAAAGAATAAAGAGTTTCAATAAAAAAATTAAATAAAAAATATAGTGTCTAAATATGAGAACATCCTCCTGAATTAATATAGGTTATTGTATATTTCCTTGATTTTCTAAGTTTAAATATTAGAGTTAGTATTCAAAATAATTTATAAATTTTTTAAAACATGTTAGGTCAACGTGAGAGTTACGCGTTAAATATTAATGAATTTAGTTTTGATTTACACACGATCTGATCTAATGATATTCTTATAATTGAATGGAAAAAATAGAGTCAAATTAACATCATTGTTTGCAATACATCAAAATACTATTGGAGCTTACATTGTGGACAATTTGAGATTCGGATCATAAATATCGACCTTGTACAAAATATTTCTTGATTGCAGGCATTAGCAAAAACACTGAAGGATTAATAGACTGCCACACCCTACATTTGATATACGGGCCCATCTTTGTATATTATTAGGTGTAAGTTTTGATTTAAGAGGACAGGCCCATATTAGAAAAGTATTCATGCCTCCTTTTTAATTGACAGGAAGGCCCACATTCTCTAAGAAACTCATGCCAGGCAATACCCAGCACTTAGATCATGATTAGGCCTACAGTCAGCACTAACATCATCAGCAAATCAAGAGTGTCTCTGTATAATCTACGGACACAACTACACATCGCAGGTAAAGAACTAATGTAGTACTCATGTTAGATGCAAGACATTGATTTGGGCTAAAATTTGGTTGGTATTATATATATATATATATATATATATATATATAGTGAAGTATTTTTGAATGTTTTTATCAATGAAACTAAAATTTTCATTTTCCAGCATCAAAATAATTTAGGTTTTTATGGATTATTAGAATGCCTTTTAGGCAAAAAACCAACTCAATCTTATCTAATATGATTAATTATTCGTAAATAATACGACTTAATGACAAGAAAGTAACTACTTAACCTTTACATAAACATGTGTTGATCATGAATTGGTTGATATTTAAATGGAGATTATGATATATATGATGTGTGAATTTTTCTATTTTTTCTATTCTCACATGTTACAGCTTTTATTTTTCTTAGCTCTGCAAGCTCTGGAACTCCCTCTTTGTCCGCCAGCATTCCAGCAATTATTTTATTTTATTTTTTTATTATTTTTTCTATAAAGAAGAATTGAAAGGACAATAGTGCATGTTCTGTTGTTTCTGGACACAATACAGAAAGACAATCAGTAGCGTAAATATTTTTCTCTGTTAGCTTAAACTGTCTGAAAAAAAGAAGAAAAAAGACATTATCTGATTATGTCATGTTTGAAGAATCTCCCAGACCAATCTACCCCCACATATAAATTCAGTGAGAAGCAAACGATAAGAGACCACCATCCCATTAATTTCGTAGAGAAAGATAAAGCAATAAAGGTTGTAACTAGGAGCTTCCAGAGAGACAGAGATAGTGCCGGAGCTTAACGATGGCAGGTAGTGGTGAGACAGTGAGAAACAAGCAAGTGTTACTCAAGAACCATGTGTCTGGTTTCCCCAAAGAATCAGACATGTATGTTGCCTCTACTACTATTGAACTCAAAGTACCAGAAGGTTGTAATAACGGGGTTCTTGTCAAGAATCTTTATCTTTCTTGTGACCCTTATATGAAAATCTTGATGAGCAAGTCCTTTGATCCGAAAACTTTCCTTGCCTATATCCCAGGCTCTGTAAGCCCTTTTCTTTTCTCCTTTTTTTTTTTTTTTTTTGGTTTTCTGTTTGGGTGCTGAGAAATGGAAAGAAAATGTGTTCAGGAAAAGCAAAGTTTCTGGCTTTTTGGGTTAAGACTAGGATACCTGGAAATTTTGGAGGTTTTCTGTTTTTACTTTCTGAGGGGCGAGAGTACTAAAATTAGCACAAGTAATGTGATTTTAGTTGAAAGTTATATGCTTTATTGAAGATGATTAACAGTTAACGATTCCTCAATGCCATGAAACATAATTAACTGTTAAACCAGTTGAGCACAGTGTTCCTTGAAACAAGTTGTGCACTTTTAAGGAAGAATGTCTATTTACAAATTAGGTCTCTAGCTTGTTTTAACTACTTCTGTTTTGTAAGAGTTCTTACTTGGAAGAGCTGGAAAAGACAAGGTGGGATTTAGTTTGAAATTGCTGGTTTATATATGGTTCGTGTACTAAGTTTGCAATTTTGAACATGTGCTGCTGAAAACATGCCAGCCATTACGTGGATATGGAGTGGCTAAAGTGTTGGATTCAAGGAACCCGGATTTTAAAGAAGGTGACTTTGTTTGGGGGACAGTAGGCTGGGAAGAGTACAGTCTCATCACTTCATTTCAAACCTTCTTTAAAATTCAGCATACTGATGTACCCCTTTCATACTATACAGGAATTCTTGGTAAGTCCTAGAAGCTTGTGTTATTAGTTTGATCTTTTCAGTCTGGAAGAAAGATCATTTATGGGATAACAACTTATGATTTGATACTTTGGCCTTTCTGTATGTGTCTCTACATGTTTATGTCCGAGATGTTTTGGCCACTATATAAAATCCTCAATGCCATAGAGAATATCTGATTTGCTGTCTATTATCATCATGCCAATCATCCACCCTGCAAATTTTCATGTTTTGGCCTGCAGAATCATAAATCTAGGTAAATAGACTTGAATGTAGAGCATTCCTAGAAGTTTACAAGTATGTTAGGATGCAAGACATGCATTTAGAAGTTTGTGATATTCGTTTCAAGTTATCAGGATAAATTTCTGTTTGTTTCGGCTAATCTTGCAGTGAGCTAATTATAACTCAGTGCCATAAAGGGAAGGCAGAATTTGCATCATCCTATAAAGTTCAGACTTTTGCTACATTGCAATTGTGCTTAACTCTACAAGTTTTTCGGGCTGCTTTATTTCTTGGCTTGACTGTCTTTTCAATTTCTTATTAGGTATGCCTGGAATGACTGCTTATGCTGGTTTCCATAAGATTTGTTCTCCCAAGAAAGGAGAATATGTTTTCATTTCTGCAGCATCTGGTGCTGTTGGTCAGCTTGTTGGGCAATTTGCAAAGTTGATGGGTTGTTATGTTGTTGGAAGTGCTGGAAGTAAAGAAAAGGTAAGCCTCATATTCCTACTGCTCATGCTGTACTTTTGAGCAACATACAATCGATGATTGTGAAATTGAAGATGCAAAGACATAAGGCATAATGTATTCATGAAAGTTCATCTATTAGGATCACATTGCTTCAGGATTTGATTGTGTCAGGGTATTTCGGAAGCATGGAACTAGATTAAGGAGTTTTCGCCTTTGAATTTTGTTGTCCCTATCTCACTTGCTACCTGTTGTTCTATAAGTTGGCTGAAACGATCCTGACAGAGATAATACCTTACTATCTCCCCATGTTTAATCAGGTTGATTTATTGAAGAACAAACTTGGGTTTGACGAGGCCTTCAATTACAAAGAGGAGCAAGACTTAGATGCTGCTTTGAAAAGGTCAGTACATGTGAATGTTATTACATAATTTACATCACATCTGCCATAGCAAAGATTATTTCAAGCATTGACAGCAAATATGTCACAGATACTTCCCTGAAGGCATCGACATATATTTCGAAAATGTTGGGGGCAAGATGCTTGACGCGGTGCTTCAAAACATGAGATTCCATGGCCGCATTGCTGCATGTGGAATGATCTCACAGTACAATCTTGACGAGACTGAAGGCATACGTAATTTAATGGTTGTTGTCTACAAACGGGTACGCATGGAAGGCTTTGTTGTTAATGACTATTATCATGAATATCCCAAGTTCTTGGATCTTGTATTGCCTTACATAAAAGCAGGAAAGATAACGTATGTTGAGGACATTGACGAAGGACTCGAGAACGGCCCTGCAGCTCTGGTAGGCCTTTTCAGTGGCAAAAATGTTGGCAAAAAGCTGGTTGTAGTTGCTCGTGAGTGATCGTAGCCGATTATATCATGTACTAGTTAAGGAGAATGAGTGTTGTCAAATGTTTTATATCATATCCTAGTTAAGGAGAATGAGTGTTGTCTGATGCTGTTTTCTCGTGTAGAATGATTTTGTTCTGCCATGTATCAAACAAGGGAAGGTTGTTTGTGTAGCTTTTTTCAGACAATTTGACAGTCTCTGAAAATAAGAGGCCTCGAAGAGTTAATTGTAACTTAATCCTTATAGTTTATCAGAACTAATTACCAAAAATACCTTATTTAGCAGTTGAATTTCATTATTTTACAGAATTTTTTTCCTTTATTCTATCAGAAAGAAAGAAAAACAAAATAAATTGAAAAAGAATCTGAAATGATCAAATGACTAAATTATAAATAAATTTAAAAGTAGAGGGATGAAATATACAGTCTCTAAAACTACAAGAATTATTAATTCATTTTGTTAAATTATAAGGACTAAGTTATAATTTACTCCTACTCAAAGGGTCTTTATCTTGTCATTCATCAAATAAAGAAAGGAGTTATGAGTCCACCAACTTTTTTTTTGAAAATTTTGTTTATCCTCATGGATGCAAGGATCATGATGCATCTTCTGTCTTTTTCAGGCACAATACAGATAGAAAATCAGACAAGTATTATTATTATTATTACTACTACTATTTAATTTGTTATCCTCTATTCCCTTATTTTTTTTCTTGAAAATTTTGGTTCTCCTATTTCCTTCTCAATTAGAAAATAAAGAAAAGGATTGGATTGATTTTATAATTCCTTATGATATTACATCCAACAATTCATCTAGGGTTATTATAATTTTTTTTTTTTTGGGAATCAATTGTTAGTACAAATAAATAAGTGGTGAGAGACAATGACAGCAAAAGTTTGCTTATTTTTTTTCCCTTCATTTTTTTTTTAAATTTAGAATTAGTGTTTACATCTTGTAAATGTATTTTTAGAATCATCAAAAATTAAAATATTAATTTTAATAAGATGATTTGAAGATATTTATATCATTAAAAAAATAACAAAAATGGTAAGAGACAAACAAGGTAACATGCTTGCCTGTATTCATACAGGCCAATCAACAAGCTACATTCGCCACCAACCATCAGCTTTACTACTTCAGATAAAAAGACAAAGCCACAAAGGTTGTAACTTGTAACTTGTAACTTGCACTTGCTGCTTCCAGAGAGACAGAGAGAGTGCTGGAGTTTAACAATGGCAGGTAGTGGTGAAACAGTGAGCAACAAGCAGGTGCTACTCAAGAACTATGTGTCTGGTTTCCCAAAAGAATCAGACATGTATGTTGCCACTGGTGCTATTGAACTCAAGGTACCAGAAGGTTGTAATAATGGGGTTCTTGTTAAGAATCTCTATCTTTCTTGTGACCCCTATATGAGAGTTTTGATGCAAAAGTCCATGGATCCACGGACTTTCGCTTCCTATACTCCAGGATCTGTAAGCCCTTTTCTTTTCTCTCGTTTTTGTTTCCTCTAGTACAGCCTTTTTGTTTTTGTTTTCGGTTTGGTTGCTGAGAAATGGGAAGAAATGGTGTTTAGGAATGAAAGTTTCTGCCTTTTGGTATTGGGACAAGTGGGAATTTTCGAGGGTTTTGTTTGTTGTTCTTTCCGAGTTATTAGAGGATGAAAATATGCAATTTGATGTAGTTTTGTTGAAAGCTGTAACCTTTATTGACAGACTATTGATTCATGTTGAAAATTATAGTGCTTAGAACAGTTGGTCAATGGAATTAAACTTAATAATCAATAGCCTGTAAAGTGTGGACAGGTTGTGGACTTTTAAGGAAGAATGTCTATTTACAAAATGGGTCCCTTAAGTGACCTACTTTCCAAGCACCGCCTACTTATCAGAACTGGAAAAGAAAAGAAGGGGTTTAGTTACATGGGGATATTTTTGTTGAAAAAGCATTGAGATGCATACCAGTAACTAAATGGAAATGAACTGTTTGATGTTTTGTTTCCAAGTATTTTGAAATTTAGACAAAGAGATGATTGGAAATAAAACTCCTGTAAATTTTAGCTTAGCTTATATTTTTGAAATTGCTGGTTAATATATGGTTAGTGTACTAAGTTTGCATTCTTTACCCTGTGTGGTGGAAACTTGCCAGCCATTACGTGGGTATGGAGTGGCAAAAGTGCTGGCTTCAGGGCACCCGGATTTTAAAGAAGGTGACTTTGTTTGGGGCACAGTAGGCTGGGAAGAGTACAGTCTCATCACTTCATTTCAAACCTTCTTTAAAATTCAGCATACTGATGTACCCCTTTCGTACTATACAGGAATTCTTGGTAAGTCATAGACGGTTCTGGTATGTTTAACTATCATCTATTAGATATGTATCAAAGATCTTTTGGCCATTACTTATAGAAAATATCCAATCCAAGATGAAAGCTGTCATTTTTTTTATTATCAGTCCGTGCTATTGTCAGGATGTCACTCCTTCGGCCCGTAAATTTCCTTATTTTTGCGTACAACATCATAAATCTAGGCACTTAAACTTGAATGTTTTATATATCCCCATTCCTAAAAGTTTACAGCTAGTTGCTGTAGTTTTTAAGATTGAATTGTCATAGGAGTTAACTGAAATAAACTGAATGGAGCTCTTGGGATCCAAGGTTGACTTCAATGAAAGACATTGAGAAGTTTATAATATTCTTTTCAAGTTATTAGGATAAATTCACGTTCATGGATGGTGTTAGTGTTCTTATGTTTTTGTGGTCAATATTATAACTCAGCGCCATGAATAGAAGGAAAAAAATGACAAAAAATGCGTAACCTTATGGAATTAGTAAATTGTTGGATGACAAATCTGCTTTACTTTTCAAGTTTTTCATGTTGCTTTGTTTCTGGGTTTGTCTGCCTTTTCAATTTTTAATTAGGTATGACTGGAATGACTGCTTATGCTGGTTTCTATGAGGTTTGTTCTCCAAAGAAAGGAGAATATGTTTTCATTTCAGCCGCATCCGGTGCTGTTGGTCAGCTTGTTGGGCAATTTGCGAAGTTAATGGGTTGCTATGTTGTTGGAAGCGCCGGAAGTAAAGAAAAGGTGTGCCATTATTCACTGTTATACTTTCAGTTTTACTTCATATATATTGCATGAAACTATGTGACAAGCATTGAGCGAAGGCAAACTTCTCTTATCTTGTAAACATTTACATCATTTAGATCATTTTAAGCCATTCCTGGTATTTCACTCCATGCTAATTATAGAAGCTAGAAAATAACTTATACTTCTTTAGACCTTCTATTTGTACTACCCAAACTTCCATCTTATTTAATGGGCTGACAGCTTATGTTCCGTAACCTTTGAGCATCATAAATATATGACTGTTTTCTGTGAAACTGGAGATGAAAATGCATGTCATAGAGTCTTCATGAAAGTTCATCTATCGACATCATATTGCTTCTGTATTTAATTGTGTTGGGAGATTTTGAAAGCTTGCAACTAGATTGGAGAGTTGATAACAGCTTTGGATCTTGCGTTTCCTTTCTTGCTTGTTACCCCATCCGTTGGTTGGGTGAAATTACCCTGAGATATATGATATCATTCTCTCTGGTTGTGTTTTATTAGGTTGATTTATTGAAGGAAAAATTTGGGTTTGATGAGGCTTTTAATTACAAAGAGGAGCATGACTTAGATGCTGCTTTGAAAAGGTCAGTATATGTCAATGTTATTGCATTAATGATAACTCTCTGATATACTTCATATTTTTCAAGTCATCTTTCGGCATCCCATGGAGATTATGTTTTACACAATTTCATCAACTTGAATTGGACATCTAAAATCACGAATTTTGTCACAAAATTGTTTTAGAAAACTTATTATTCGGGGTGGGGAGGGGGAAGGAATGGGGTAATTGCACATCGCAATAGCTGTATCAACATTATATCAAGCATTGATGGCAACTGGCTTCCAACTGTTACAGATACTTCCCTGAAGGCATTGACATATATTTTGAGAATGTCGGTGGCAAGATGCTCGATGCCGTGCTCCTAAACATGAGATTTCGTGGCCGCATTGCGGTATGTGGAATGATCTCACAATACAATCTTGACAAGACTGAAGGTATAAGTAATTTAATGACTGTTGTTTACAAGCGGGTACGCATAGAAGGATTTGTGGTTACAGATTATTATGATCAATATTCCAAGTTCCTGGATTTTGTATTGCCTCACATAAGAGAAGGAAAGATAAAGTATGTGGAGGACATTTCTGAAGGACTCGAGGATGGCCCTGCAGCTTTGGTAGGCATTTTCAGTGGCCAAAATGTAGGCAAAAAGCTGGTTGTAGTTGCTAGCGACTGATTGTAACCATAATTTTAAATTATGCGACGATTGAAGAAACGGTGGTGGTCGTTATGACGAATTACGATTTCCTATAATACTAAAATAAAAAGTAACGGAATGCTATGAAACTGTGACATAATAGCCGTTGCATGACAGACATGACTGTTGTTACGTGGCAGGCAACATTATCTAAAACTATGATTGTAACCCATTATATCATTTTTTTTTCCCTAGTCAAAGGAGAATGGCTGCCATTATTTTAAAAACAGAGGGATTTTGTGGAAGCATTTTTGCTGTGTAGAATGTTTGTGTTAATAATTTAAGCCTGGAAAAGTTCTGTTTAATGATTTATCCATCGCTAAGCTTGGTTCCAAGTGCCATATTTATGTATATGCACTGTTTCCGTATTTTTTTTTTTTCCATAGAGAAAGATTTAGTTTCGTGTTGAATAAAAGATGAAAAAGCTTCTTCCAGTAAAGATGGCCGCACACATGGTGTTTAAATGGACCTGAGAGTTTGAACCACTTTTCTTGAGGCTTGGGCTTTAGTCTCTTAACTTGGGCTCATGGCCTTTTGTAAACTGGCCTTTAGGGCTCTTTAAAGCCTGCTTGAGTATGAAATTTTGCCAAGGTGCCATGCAAGTTGGGTGTCATGGGGAGCAAGGCTAACCTAATAATTTATTTTCCTTTTTTTTTTTTTTTCTTATTTTCAAGTTAATAAGGTTTTTTGCTCTTAATTTCTGAAAAGAAGAGGGACACATCCTTAAATTGGAGGCCAATCCATGGATTTCATTTGATGAAATGATCTTTTGTTTCCTTCTGTAATTGGATAGGAATAATGTATAAGCCAGGATTATTTTTTTTTTCAAAAAAAAAAAAGAGAGAGAAATTATTGCATGCCCAAGAAGAGAAAAAATAAAAGAAAATTAGGCACTCTCTAGTTTCCAATTTAGCGTTGATTTATCAGAATGGCTATTGGCACATAATTTTTTTGCTAGTGGCACATACTTGAGATCCATAATTACATTGCCGCCCTTCCCTTCTCTTCCATATGAAATGTCAATTTTACCATTTACAGCCCACCACTGCACCGCAAGCCTTTTTGTGATCTTAATGTTGCATTTATCTGTTTTAATCAAATGTCAAGTGACCACATAACATTTGTTCAATCAAATGCTGCATTTTTTTTTTTAAGTACTAATAATATCATATATTTTACCCAAAAAACAGCACCAAACCATACTTACATAATTTTCTCAACCCTTGGATCGGTGTGGTGGGCCCCACGCATCGAATGACTCAGTAAATTCCAAATGTTTTCGTGCCCTTTTTTTTTTTTTTGAAAAAAAAAATTCAATGACCACCTTCAGATTTTTTCAGATGATAACAATGGACCCCACTCATTTCAAGGGCTGAAAAAGTACCAAAAGTTTGGCCTTGGCGTATATTTTCAGCAGGCATTAGATAAGATAGTAGCACCAACATTATATCTCGACCGTTAGCAGGAGATGGGCCCACCAATCCATCGGCCGAGAAAATTACTGAAGTCTGATATCTGGGGATCAGCTGAGAAAATTAATTAAGCAAAGCCCAAGTAACCGAAAACTAAAATTTTTCATTGATGTCAAAAAGTTAATATAAACGTTAACCCTCTTCTGCAGCCTGCAACCTACTCAACGTTGACATTGAAAACGTTAACCCTCTCCTCTTCTTTCACCTTAGGCACCACCACCTTCAAAACCCCATTCTTCATCTCCGCTTTAATTTCACCAGTCTTGTACATTTTCTCAGGCAATTCGATTCTGCTACTGTACCTCCTTCCACTCTCTTCATCCTTCGATTCTTTTGCACCTTCCCCTCTGATGATCAGAGTGCTCTGTTCCACCGAGACCTTCACATCCTCCTTGGCGAGACCAGGCATATCGATGCGAAGATTGAGAGCCTCATCAGTCTCGCGCGCATCCCACCCACGATGGAGTCCAGCAGCACGGGAGGCAGAGAGGAGTGGGTTCTCTAAGAGCATGTCCGTCGCGTTAAGGATTTGGGATAAACTCCTTGTGGGTGAAAATGGGTCAAACAAATCTGCAAAATTATAATTAAAATTAAAATAATTAAAATTGATTAATGCTATTGTAAGATTAAAATTGCAAATGAATGGTTTGTGAAACATAACTGCTAGTGAGAAGCAAAAAGACAACTACCAGATAGATAATCATCAGGACCACGGGAAAGAGAGCGGTGGGAGCGACGATCATCAATTCCGCCTTCAACAGCATCATCGTAGTCACGGAGGGCATTGGTGTTAAAGAGGCGAGAAGAAGGAGCTGTAGCCATTGGGCGGAGAATGTAGCAGAGAGAAGAGGTCTTAGGGATAATGCTAGAAGAGACAAGTCTCTTGAGAGCAAGCGAGTAAGCCATTTCTCAGATCTTGGAATTGGATGGCGAGAACTAAAGAAAAGAGTAAGATTTTAGTGCAGTTGATTTGTTTTGGCTTGGGGAAAGGAAAGGTCAATTGTGGATTTATATAGAAGCGTGGAAGTTGCTAGAGACTAGAGAGAAGGTTCTGGAAAGATAATTCTAGAAGGACGAAGGACATATTTTTTGTATTTATTATATTCTCTGACTTGTTGCTCAGGATATATGCCAAAATGGTCAAAAATGAAAAATGAAAGGACTTGTTTATTTGTCGAAAAAATTGGAGAGGTTTTTTTCCTTTTTGTTGAGAAATTGGGTTAAAGATGTAATTTCATGCTCTATGATTTCCGCTTCCTCTCTTTTTCTTGAAAATCAAACTAGGTTTCCAATTTAGTTTTGATTTTGAGAATGGCTATCGGCACATAATTTTTGGCTATCGGCAATACTTGAGATGTAAGATTACGGTCTTGCCCTTCCCTTCCATGTGAAATGTCAATGTTACTCTTTATAGATGGTCCATCATTTGTGATTAAAAAATAAGCGCCTCTGCATTTATTTATTTATTTAATCCAAAATCAAATGACCACAAGACATTTCGTTCAACTTAATGCCCCATTTATTCTTTGAGTACTGCTACATTTAGCGAAAGTCAATTATATGATTTTCTCGACCCTTGGATTGGTATGGTGGGACCCACTCATCCATTAACTGAGGAAGTTCTGGATGCTTTCGTACTCTTTCTTTTTTCCGTAAACTCATTTTTATATTTAATTTTTTTCGGCACCATGACCACAATTATTTTTTTTTAGCAAAATAATAATCACGGGCCCCACTCATTCCAAGGACCGAGAAAATACCGAAAGTTTACTCTGGCGTTGTCTTTTCGGATAAATATCGGATTAAACGGTAGTACTAGAATATTATTTCTTCCATGAGCGGGACCCACTACTAGATAGTGGTTGGTCCCACCCATTTCATCGGCTGAGAAAATTATTGAAATCTGTTGCTTTTCCATAAAAAATAGAGAGTACTCAAAACCGTAAATGGAGCATTAAGTATTCTCAATAGAGGGTAATGTTGACATTTCACCTAAAAGAAAAGGGTAACGTTGTAATCTTGCATCTCACGCTTCTGCAACTAACAATTCCATTGATTTACTTTCGCTTCTTTCATTAAAATCAGATGTATATATATCATTGATCATATTCATGGATGGAGCTATTAGATAAGGATAAAGATGGATGATTTCATTCTATTTCTAATTCTAATTTTGAGCAGGAAAACCACATTGAGATTGACTACAGAAATTAGAAGCAAAATTCACAACTCTATCTCTGTTATTCTCTCAGACTATCACCACTAGTTAGCAAGACTCCACTCCCCTGCAACCTACTCAACCTTAACATTGAAAACGTCAGCCCTCTCGTCTTCTTTCACCTTAGGCACCACCACCTTCAAAACCCCATTCTTCATCTCCGCTTTAATTTCATCAGTCTTGTACATTTTCTCAGGCAATTCGATCCTGCTGCTGTACCTCCTTCCACTCTCTTCATCCTTCGATTCTTCTGCACCTTCCCCTTTAATGATCAGAGTGTTCTGTTCCACAGAGACCTTCACATCTTCCTTGGCGAGACCAGGCATATCGATGCGAAGATTGAGAGCCTCATCAGTCTCGCGCGCATCCCACCCACGATGGAGTCCAGCGGCACGGGAGGCAGAGAGGAGTGGGTTCTGTAAAAGCATGTCCGTCGCGTTAAGGATTTGGGATAAACTCCTTGTTGGTAAAAATGGATCAAACACATCTGCAAAATTAAAATTAAAATTGATTATTATAACACTGAAATTGAAGATGAATGGTTTGTGAAACAAAACTGCTAGCTAGGAGCGAAAAGACAACTACCAGAGAGAAAATCATCACGACTACGTGAAACAGAGCGATGGGAGCGACGATCTTCAATTCCGCCTTCACGATCCTCTTCGTAGTCACGGAGGGCATTGGTGTTGAAGAGGCGAGAAGAAGAAGGAGCGGTGGCCATTGGGCGGATAATGTAGCGGAGAGAAGAGGTGTTAGGGATAATGCTAGAAGAGACAAGTCTTTTGAGAGCAAGAGAGGAAGCCATTTATTTGATCTTGGACTTCGAGAACGAGGAAGCCTCTGATATCAGCGTATTTTTTCTGTTTTCGGGTTTCTGATTTTGACTTGGAGAATGGGAAAGGCGAAGCGTGGATTTATACAGAAGCGTGGAAGGTGCTAGAGAGAAGGTTCTGGAAAGATATTCTGGAAGGCAGAGAGCTCTGACTTGTTGCTCAAGATATATGGCCAAATGGTCACAAATGAAAAATGAAAGGACTTGTTTGTTTCTGAAGAAAATTTTATGAGAGTTTTAATATATAATTTTTTTTTTTTTTTTATTGAGAAATTTGGCGGAGACAATATATATAGTCTCCCGCCACAAAGCCACAGATTTTTTCATCTTGGTTCTTCTTGCAGCAAAGATTGTCACATTTATGGTGTTGAAATGGACCTTAGGGTTTGAAACCTTCTTTTCGTAGGGCTTGGGCTTTAATCTCTTAAATTGGGCTCATTGCCTTTAGGGCTCATTAAAGGCTGCTTGAGCATGAAAACGTGCAAATATGCCATGCAACTTGGCCCACCATAGGTCCAGTGGGGTTCAATGATTGAGATGTAATATTACAGTCTTGCCCTTCTCTTCTATGTGGAATGTCAATATTACCCTTTATAGATAAATGCATTCCGCACGGGGATCATAAAGTGGCTGATGATCTAGCGGTGGTGTGGTTATTTCCAATGCTTTTGAAGGTTAAGCGTTGGATTATACGTAAAGGGTAATGTTGACATTTCACTTGGAAGGAAAGGGTAACATTGTAATCTTAAATCCCAAGCTCGTGCCAATAGCAATTCCCTTGATTTACTTTGGGCGGTTTGTTGCTAAATGCTGACTGTTGCTGCTTTCTTTGTTTTTTTCTACCAAGTACAAAATACCATGAATATTCAAATGGTATTATCCTTGATCATGACGTAAGTCCCTATCCCTTTAATATTTTATCCTTAATCATGACGTAAGTCCCTATCCCTTTAATATTAATACGGCCACCTAGTAGTATTGTCAACATAACAATATATAATCATATCTCCACAACTTTGGACTAACCTAGCTAGGATTGAAATGAAACGTCGCAAGAGCTCATGTCATGCCCATATATATATATATATATATATAGTGTCTTACAATTTACAGAAGCACACGGAGATTGAGAGATTTGAGATTTTTTTTTCCTATTAGCAATGGCAGAAAGTGAAAATGTGGTAAGCAACAAGCAGGTTCTTTGTAGAGAGCTTTTCGTTGGATTTCCAAAAGCATCATACTTGCAAATTGGCACTAGCACGATCCAACTTAAGGTTCCCCAAGGATCAAATGCTGTTCTTGTTAAGAATCTCTACTTGTCTTGTGATCCTTACATGCGAGGTGAAAAGGATACCTCCCGGGACAAAGAATTTCACTCTTTTGTTGTTGATTCTGTAAGCACAATGTCTTTGTCATCTCTCTTCACTCTTTCTTTTTTTCATTCTCTGGTGTCTGATCTGTTCTGATACAATTTTCCAACTTTCAAACCTTTCCTGGCGACACACAGCCATTAATAGGCTATGGAGTAGCTAAAGTTGTGGATTCCAGCTGCCCAGATTTCAAGGAAGGAGACATAGTTTGGGGGATAACAAAATGGGAAGAGTACAGTCTCCTCACCAATCTCAAAAGCCTAGTTAAAATCCAGCACACTGATGTACCCCTTTCTTACTATAATGGAATACTTGGTAAGTTTCTGATTCATTGGATGGAATCATTAGATTTCCGAATTTTACGAGAAATCGGATGCACTTGTTGCAGAGTTTTGTCATGATGATTACTGTTTTCGCGACTAGTCTTATGCCTTTCTTGTTTTTGATCGAAGGAATGCCTGGCCATACTGCTTACGTTGGTTTTCATGAAATCTGTAAACCTAAGAAGGGAGAATATGTATATGTTTCATCGGCATACGGTGCCGTTGGTCAGGTTGTTGGACAATTGGCTAAGTTGATGGGTTGCTATGTTGTTGGAAGTGCTGGAAGTAAAGACAAGGTAACTAACATTTCTATGTAAAATCCATGTGAATTCTCATTGATCCTATTGAAGAATATATTTCAATTGTTTGCTGCATTATTCATTAATTCGATCTTACCTTTTATTGATTCTGTTTTTTCTTGTTTTTATCATGAAAAAGGTTGATCTATTGAAGAACAAGTTAGGATTTGATAATGCTTTCAATTATAAGGAAGAACCTGATTTGGATGCAGCTTTGAAAAGGTGAGTTTGTTTAGTTTAAAAAATGCAAGATTTTCGACTTATCCTTTAGGATCATGAAGGGTTTCATTAGATTAGATGAACACATTCATAATCACAAATCAGAAAAGAACAATGAAAAGATCTTTCTATTATAGGATGCTGTGTCTGAAATCTCTCTGGTGTGTCTGCAGGTATTTCCCTCAAGGAATTGACATATACTTCGAAAATGTTGGGGGAAAAATGCTTGATGCAGTTCTTCCCAACATGAGAGTTCACGGTCGCATTGCTGTATGCGGAATGATCTCTCAGTACGAACTCGATCGACCGGATGGCATTAACAATTTGACAGAAATTCTTTTTAAACGGCTCCATATGCAAGGATTTCTGGTTTATGATTATCCAGGCACATATACTAAGTTCCTAGACTTTGTGTTGCCTTACGTCAGAGATGGAAAGATGGTTTATCTGGAAGATGTAAATGAAGGCATTGAGAGTGGCCCTGCAGCCCTAGAAAGCCTTTTTACCGGTCGCAGCATTGGAAAAGGAGTAGTTGTCGTTGCTCGCGACTGATCAACTGCATCTGTCACAAGGCTCTCAAGCATTTTCTTCCTGTCTTCCTTGTGTTCATAGCATCCTATAGCTAACATGTTTCTTGTCAGCACAATAAATTTGAAGAGCTATGAGCTTGTTACTGATATCAGAATCAAATTCTTTCACTTGATGTTTTCTATTTACAAATGACAGAGCTGTAGATGTATCTTATTTACAATTTATCTTAAAAATTATGGAATAAGAAAACACTAGCAGGTCATCAGATATGATATCGCTATCGAACAAGCCTAAGAAAAGAATCATTAATTTAGACAAGGTCTTCCAATCTCTAATTACTCAATTAAAAACTTGACATGTTTAATCATACAGAGACTTTTTTCCCCCTTTGATAATAGAGTCCATCTTACTTCACGTAAGAACTGAAATAAACAGAAAATCTGTTGACAGCAAGTGTATGCGGAACCCAGAAAGAAAAACCAGGGAACATCTGCAGAAACCAGGAGCCAGTTTTCAACAGCACTGCTGTCTGCAGAAGCAGCTACCGACTCATAACTTCAACACAAAACCAAAAAACCAAAAGATCAAAGAAACAACAGGATTGAAGTATCAAATTAAAATAGTTTTGAAACTTGAACCAAAGAAATCATCCAGGCCTCACAGTTCTTGGCAAGTGGATTATTATACGAGATCCAACATTTCTTGAAAATCAAGCATGCGGTTTTCCTTCAACCTAACCCATGCCTCGATTCCATCACCATCTTTATTGTCCAAAAGTAAAACCCCCTCCATTGGTAGATACACGTTACTCACCCATTCTGGCCTTCCCCAACCAAAATCTGCTTCATAAGTCGGAAACCGACACCATGAATTAAACATATGGACATCTATTTCAGTTGTTTCAAATATTTCTTTCATCTTAAGCATCTTCTTCGTCAGTATTGAAAATATGTCATCACCATTTGAAGCTTTAGCACATTCTGAGATAGTACTACTCATTCCTTCATGGATCCAATTTACCACATCATGAAGTTGCACTGTGCTGTCATCATCAGGAATGAATTGTGCAATTGACATGGTTCCAAAATTTCCACACATATTCTCTGGAACTGGTAGCGCTGTCCTCCGTCTCATGTCAACTATTTGTGTCTGAAAAGAAGGACTTAAGCAGCCATTTCTAGCTTGAGATGCCCTGATGAGAGCCCTCCATATGAATGCTGTCACCACTTGCAATCGTGTTGGTTCGAATTTTGGCCCTGCTGGACCATTAACATTATCATTAGCAACAGCTTTCAGATTTGATATTGCTGCACCATTAAACACAATCCTTTTCTCGAAAATTTTGTTATCTCCTTCGCTCCTCGGAACAAAAGCCTTGATGGCAGATAACTCTTTGGGTGGGCAGAAGGAAGCTAACTGGAAAGTTGGGGGCCGTACTTTGTCAACCCCTATGCGGCATGTAGTAGCCCAAGCATCAACAAATGTGAACAATGTGAATCCATCAACTATCTTGTGTGACAGAGATATACCAATGGCAAGTCCACCACATTCGAACAAGTTGAACTGAACTATAAGTAAAGGGCTGCTGTCAGGTTGAATTACTGGTGGAGCTAAATGATTCCGCAGCTCGGTTTGAAGCTCTCCTTCCTTGAGAAATTCAGAGAGGCAACCACTTACTTTAGCTTCCAAATATTCTGCTCCATTATCATTACAATCAATGAAGAGATTTCCTTTCATGTATCTTCCTCCAAGTGGATAATAAAGGGTCAAGATTTCTGACAAGGATTTTTGCAACTGCTCGCTTTTTTCTGCAGTATGAACTCCATCTTCTTCACCACTGACTGGGTAGTAGAAAATGCAAGAAGTGTAAAAATTTGAAGGAAGAATCTGATCCAAACAAGATATTGGCAACTTCTGAAGGCTGTTTGGAGTTGTAGATGATGGAGTTATCAACTTTCTAGAGAAGATCTGAACCTTCATATTCAAATTCTTTTGCTTCGTAAGGAGTAGGAAAGCAAATGGTACAGCTTTAAGTGAATTTTTCAGTCAAGCTAGAGGCTGGATTGCTTTAAACAGTTCTGCTGTCCTTCATAAACAACATATAATGTTTTTACATTGATAATGTAAGATGATTCTGATGCTTTCCCCCTAGAAAAAGCCAAACAGCCATAAAATTTCTTATTTTTCCTCAAGAAAGGTGGGGTGAGGAGTGGTTAAGCTGTCTATTAATCTTTTGTTGGCATTGCCATAAAATAAAAAATAAAAAATAAAAAATAGAGATTTTGCTATTAAGCACTGGACAAATTTCATAATTTCTGTAGCTATCTGAATCACGTCACTGACAAATTAAAAAAGAAAAAACATCATCTTCCAGAAACATAATCAGTGAATCCCAAACACTCTGCTCAGGCTGCAGAAGGCAGTGCATAAATGGCCTCAGAATTTGTCTTCAGATGAATTAAAAACTCCTGAAGTTTACTGAAAATGTTCAAGTATTCAATTCTTTGCAGCATCTATTCATTAGAAGATACAGAACTCATAGCTTTAACAGTGATGCTACAACTAATAGTAACGAAGGAGCATCAAGAAAGCAGGACCAAATTCAATGTTTCTGTAACATTAACCAAAGAACCATCTAGGGAGCAACCAAGACATGATTGATAATGCTACAATTCTCTGCAAGTGATTGCTATGATATCAGGATTTTGTTGAAAAAGAAGCATGCTATTTTCATCCAATCCAATCCACGCCTCAATGCCTTCACCATCTTTGGTATCCAAAAGTAGAATCCCCCTCCTTAGGAATATGCACGTTACTGGCCCAAGTGGGCTTTCCCCATTCAAAATCTGCTTCATACATTGGAGACCAACACCATGAAACAAACTTATGGACATCTACCCAACATTTCTCAAATGCTTCACATATCTCTCTTATGCTGTTGGTCACCATAAAATAAAAACTCTTCACTATTCGAGGCTTTTGCACATTCTGATATTTTGTTACTTACTCCCTTATGTACATGAAACTGCATGTTGCTCTCATCATCTGGCTTTGGAATAAATTGAGCAATTCCTATGCCTGTGAAGTTTCCACAAGACTTCTCTGGTATATGTAGAATTGTCCTTCCTCTCAAGTTAACTGCATGTGTCAGGAGGGAAGGCCTTAAATAACCATGTCTAGCCTGAGAGAACATAATGAGACCCCTCCATATGAGTGCTGTCACTACCTCCACTCGTGTTGGTTGGTGTTCTGGCAACTTTGAACCACAACCATTGGTTTTAACATCCGCTTTTAGATTTGATATTGCTTCACCATTAAACACAAACCTTTTCTCGACAATCTTTTTATCTCCTACACTCATAGGAACAGAAGTCTTCATACCAGAGAAATCTCTGGGTGGGCAGAAGGAAGCCAATTGAAAACTTGGGCAGTGCACATTTTCATCACTGATTCGGCACCGATAAATGTAAAGAATGTGAATCCATCAGCTATCTTGTGTGTCACAGATATAGCAATGGCAATTCCAACACATTCAAACATGTTGAATTGCACTATCACTACAGGGCTGCTGTCTGGTTGGAGTATAGATAGAGCCAAATGACTGCACAACTCGGACTCGAGCTCTGCTTCTTTGAGCAGTTGTGAGAGGCAGCCACTTACTAACAACTATTCTGCTCCTTTTTCATTGCAATCAATCAAAAGATTTTCTTCAATGTATCTCCCTGATAATGGATAAAAGAGAGTTAAAGTTTCCGATAGTGCTTTTTGCAACTGCTTACCTTTTTCTTCATTACTAACAACTTGTTCTTCGTAGTTAGCTGGGTAGTAGAAAATGCAAGGCACATAATAAGTTGATGGAAAAAGCTGGTCGAAACAAGATATATTCTATTTTCGAAAGCAGTGTGGAGTTGGAAATGATGGATTTATCACCATCCCAGACAAGATTTGAAACTTCATATTCGAATAGCCTCTTCTTTATAAGAAATGGTAAGTAAACAGATCAAGCAATATATTATAGATTTCTTTAAAAGAACAAAAGTTCATGGCTCGAGGAGTACAAGTGACAACCTCATGACAAGGGTTCGACGAGGCTTTCAACTACAAGGAAGAGAAAAACTTGGATGAAGCACTGAAGAGGTCAGGTTTTGCTTGAATTTCCCTTCGCAAATCCAAGATTCTGAATGCAGTAATATTGCAGAATGACGTCCATCATATCCTGATAGCAGTAAAGTTTTTGCTACTTTTCTGATTGATTCCAGGTACTTTCCTGAAGGCATAGACATTTTCTTTGATAATGTTGGTGGAAAGATAATGTTTGCAGTATTGCTCAACATGAGGGTCCATGGACGCATTGCTCTCTGTGGAATGGTTTCACAATAAGCACTTGATGAGCCAGATGGCATAAAAACCCTGATTTCCATCATCTACAATCGCCTTCGTGTGGAAGGATTTGTTGTCTTTGATCACTTCGACCTTTTTCCCAAGTTCTGGGACTTCATGATCCCTTATATCAGAGAAGGGAAGATACTGTACGTGGAAGACGGCTGAAGGTCTTGATAGTTGCCCAGCTGCTCTGGTCGGACTTTTTACTGGCAGCAATCTTGGAAAGAAAGTTATTATAGTTGCTCAAGAATAAAATTTCTCTATTATTGGTTTAGTTGTGAACCATTAGAACAGTACGGTAGGATATCCATCATCTACCAATATATGTACTCATTAGAAGTTAATGATAAATATCATCATAGTTTTAAATCACCGAGGCAGTCTTAAAAACAATTGCAATCGCGATCGCAGTTTATTGTGATAATAAAATAAAGATAACAAAAATTGATGTCGTAAATACATTATCGGCTACTAATTAAGCATAATAATAATATATCTAATTGCATGATCATTTGACTATATGAAAACTTGTATAATACATCAAGAGGTTGAAAAAAGGGTGATATTTCACGCAGGTCAGTGGTGTTTCTTCAAAGAATTAAAAGTAATTTTTTTAGAACAATAATATACCGGCCATTACCGTTCGTCACCTTGTATAGCACCGTTATTGCCGTAATCGACAAGAAATGCAGTTGGAATTTCTATAGTGCATACAGCAGAAGCTGACATATCCGAATCAGTTAAATAACCATTTTTTGGAACTATGGACGTCATTTTCAAGGTTCTCTTTCACTCATTTTTATATATCTTTTATGTTTAGAAGTTGTCCTTAAAGTCTAGTACATGCTGTTGGATGGTTTAAACTCCCTCCTCCACATGCTTCATGCTTATGAACAATCCTGGTCATTTTCTCATATTGTGTCTTTTCCACAACAATGCTGCCGAACATGTTGTTTTCCTAGCCCAACAACATAAATGAAAGACAAACAGGTTCACTTTTTAAGGTAGGATAAGGACATCATGACTAGGTACAACATGGAGCATTTACCTTGATTTGGAAAGGCCTGCCGCCAGCTTATCAGAGCTTGAGATTATATGCATAAACTTGGTCGCCAATATGCTAATAGCCGGCCGGCAGATAACATCAAAACAGATACATTTAATATCAGGCTTTGAGAATAGAGACAGACCTTGGCATCTGTAGTCTGTACATCTCGTATATCTATCTGTATTTTCCCATTCTGGAGTTTCTCTATAGTTGTTGAGAGAAAGAAATCCGCGAATAATTGCAATGAGTGGTGATGAAGAAGTAGCTAATAAGCAGGTGATATTGGCAAACTATGTCTTCTCTGGGCTGCCCAAGGAATCAGACATGCAAGTGATCACCAGTTCTATCAAACTTAAGGTACCAGAAGAAACTCCTGGGATTCTTGTCAAGAATCTATGGTTGTCATGTGATCCAGCCATGAGACCTAGAATGTTAAAACTTGAAGGGTCCTATGCTGAGTCCTTCAAGCCTGGTTTGGTCAGTCGCTCATACCTCCTCATTCTGTTTATCTTGCATTTGAGAAAAGAGTTGCTGATATACATTTTTCCAAAGGATTTTAACTCAAACTTTCATGCAACAGTATTATTTCCTGAAATAATAGTCACTTGTGGCTGTTTTCAAATTTGCAGCCTTTAAATGGATATGGAGTGGCTCGAGTTTTGGATTCAGGGCATCCTGACTTCAAGAAAGGTGATCTGGTCTGGGGAATAACTGGTTGGGAAGAGTACAGTCTCATTACATCAACAAAGGGACTGTTCAAAATTCAACGCACAGATGTGCCTCTTTCTTATTACACTGGAATTCTTGGTTAGCTTTTCTTTCTATTAAGATTAGGTTGCTTTCGTGCTACTAAAATACATGGCTGCCAACTGTAAACTGCACTTAATTTTTGACATCCTTATAAGACAAGATGTGTCGCATGAGAAAGAAAGACTTTCCCTTTCTAATTTTAAATTCTATTGTAAATTATGTTGAAGGTATGCCTGGTATGACTGCTTATGGTGGTTTTTATGAGCTCTGCTCTCCAAAGAAAGGGGAATATGTCTTTGTTTCAGCAGCTTCTGGTGCAGTAGGTCAGCTTGTAGGGCAATTTGCAAAGTTATTGGGTTGCTATGTTGTTGGAAGTGCAGGAAGCCAAGAAAAGGTTAGTCAGCCAATCACGAGTATTAATCGTGTTCGAACGACTGTGTAGACCTGTTATTGCTGTTCAGAAAATCTAACTGCAGGCTTTCAGTTTATTGCAACATTATAGTAATGTAGATGAGAGCAGGGCAAAGCAACATCACTAACCAGGCTCTGTATTCTGTTTGCTTTTCATTTCTCTTATCCATCTTAAGGTTGAGTTGTTGAAGAGCAAGTTTGGATTTGATGAGGCTTTCAACTACAAAGAGGAGCCGGACCTGGTTGCAGCTTTGAAAAGGTTAGGAGCAAAATGTTTTGAAATGGAATTTTATGCAAATATTATGTGGAATTTCTTACAGCACTCAAAGAAACAGATATATAGTCTCCTCCTTTTATCTGTGTTTTAGGTCTTTTAATCATAGGTTTAAATCATGGATAAAAAAAAAAACAATAGCAGTCGCCATCAATGATCATTGCTTACTATAATATTAAAATAACGGTAACATGATGCTTCAAAACCGTTACATAACGGCCGTTATTTAAAACTATGTTTTAATGTGAAGTGCTAATGCCTCATTTCCTGGCAGATACTTTCCCGAGGGCATTGATATTTACTTTGAAAATGTTGGAGGAAAGATGTTGGATGCTGTGCTACTCAACATGAGGCTCCATGGACGCATTGCGGTTTGTGGGATGATTTCACAGTACAACAAATTGGATAACCCTGATGGCATATGCAACTTAACCAGCATTATTCTGAAGCGTGTTCGTGTAGAAGGATTCCTGGTTTTTGATTACTACCATCTCTACCCCAAGTATCTGGAAATGATTTTGCCTAACATCAAAGAAGGGAAGATTGTGTATGTGGAGGACATAGCTGAAGGCCTAGAGAGTGGTCCAGAAGCTCTAATTGGGCTCTTCACTGGCCGCAACGTAGGAAAACAAGTGATTGCAGTTGCTCATGAATGATTGTCCTCTTGCAGGTTGCTTACTGCTAAGAAATTTTCTGAGTCCACTGAAATTTCTCCTGAGAAGTTCTATTTTAATTCAGATGCTTACAATTTGCATGAAATAAGTCTGCTCATTATCCTTTTTGAAAAATAAGTGTAGAATTCATTGCATGCAAATGGAAACATTCAAATGCTTCTCTCGGTAGTTATGAGAATCATAAAATTGCAGGTTATAGCAAATAATCCAAAATAACTTTCTTTTTTCTATAAACTCACATCAGGTGTCCATGGCCTCAAAACTAAATGGTCCTTTCCGAACATCCAAGGCACTTGATCCAACATCAACTGCGTATATTCAGCTGTTTCAAAATCAAAGATAAAAACTCCTGAATCAAGAGAATATAATTCCACATTTTCACATTTCTTCCACTTGCAGATGAAATTGTCCATCGAATCAAAATGTGGATCTTCTCCCAAAACATATCCAACCAAAGCATTTCCGCATCGGTCTAGTGTATTCTAATGAATATAACATCTGGTGCTAGCAGAGGTTCGAATTAAAGAAGTCTAAGGGAGGAAGCAAACTTACTTAACCACCAGATCAACCTTGGGATTCGAACAAATCCATATCTCCGATAAAAGAAACTATTTCTATTATTTAACTGTTCAAATTCAATGGAAAAACTATTTATATTATTTGCTGTATATAAAATAAGATCCCAACTGTATTTCAGAAGTCCAAAACATATGTATATTATCAAGCTTCTATCTAATTCATTTTTATATCTCTTAAGGGTTGAAGTTGTCCTGACAGGTCTTGTACACCTGTTGGGTTGGGATACGGAAAAAACAAACCTGCTGTGAACATCATTTTCTCATATTCTATATTAACACTTGAATCCAGCCGGTCATCATGTCAAGACAACTTAAATTAAGACCAACAAGGTTGTATAAGGACATCTTGAGTAGCCTGCTAAATTGCTAATAATCAGAATCACCAATAGGCTAAAGCCATCAGATAACGTCCAAACAGAAACTGTTAATATCTTGCTTTGAGGATGTATAGCGTTTAACATCTGTTTATCTTATCTTTAGAGATTGAAGACTGCTCTCTCTGTGTTTTTCAATTCTGGAGTTTCTCTGTAGTAGTTGAGAGAAATAAATTGGCAGATAATGGCAATGGGTGGTGATGGTATTGAAGAAGTAGCTAACAAGCAGGTGATATTGAAGAACTATGTCATCTCGGGTCTGCCTAAGAAATCAGACATGGATGTGATAACTAGTACCATCAAACTTAAGGTACCAGAAGAAACTCCTGGGATTGTAGTCAAGAATCTGTATTTGTCCTGCGATCCAGCCTTGAGAGGTAGAATGTTGAAGCGTGAAGGATCCTATATCGAGTCCTACACACCCGGTTTGGTCAGTCACCCATACCTCCTCATTCTGTTTATCTTGCAATTTCTTGAAGACTTTTGAAGCATTTGTTAATACAATTGGAAATAGAGTTTTTGATATATATTTTTCCAGTGGGGTACTTTAGCTCAAACTATCATGTGATTGTTCTGAAAAATGCAGCCTTTAACTGGATATGGGGTGGCTAGAGTTTTGGATTCAGGACATCCAGACTACAAGAAAGGTGACCTGATTTGGGCAATAACTGGTTGGGAAGAGTACAGTCTCATTACAGAAACAAAGGGAGTGTTCAAAATTCAACACAGAGATGTGCCTCTTTCCTATTATACTGGAATCCTTGGTTAGCTTTTCTCTTTTTTCTTTTTTTGCTCAATTTTATCTTTGTTAAGATTAGGTTGCTTTAGTGCTACTAAAATACATGCATGGCCGGCAAGTGTGAACTACAGTCACCTTTTGCCGTTCTTAGCAGATATGATATTCTATGCAGATGGTCAAAGTTCATCTAATTGTTGTGAATTTATCTGCAGGCATGCCTGGTATGACTGCTTACGGTGGTTTTTATGAGCTTTGCTCTCCAAAGACAGGGGAGTACGTCTTTGTTTCAGCAGCTTCTGGTGCTGTAGGTCAGCTTGTTGGGCAATTTGCAAAGTTATTGGGTTGCTATGTTGTTGGAAGTGCTGGAAGCCAAGAGAAGGTTAGTTAGCCAATCATAACTCATCAGTATTAATTGTGCAAATAACTCTTTTGTCCAGTTATTGCTGTCAAGGAAGTAAAACTGCAGGTATTCATTTTACTTCTACGTAGTTATGTAGATGATAGCAAAGCAAAGCAACATCACTAACCAGCTTCTGTTTGCTGTTTGCTTTTAATTTCTCTTACTACAATATAAGGTTGACTTGTTGAAGAAAAAGTTTGGATTTGATGATGCTTTCAACTATAAAGAGGAGCCAGATTTGGTTGCAACTTTGAAAAGGTTGGTAGCGAAATGTGTCAAGAACTGGAAATTACTGGAATTTTATCAGAATACTAGTAGCAAAAGAAACCAATATACTTTCCTCCTAACTCCTTGTTTTAGGCATAAAAACCTAGTGCTAACGCCTCATCATCTGGCAGGTATTTTCCGGAGGGCATTGATATTTACTTCGAAAATGTTGGAGGAAAGATGTTGGATGCTGTACTACTCAACATGAGGCTGCACGGACGGATTGCTGTGTGTGGGATGATCTCACAGTACAACAAATTTGATAACCCTGATGGCATACACAACTTGTTCAATATTATTCTGAAACGTGTTCGCATTGAAGGATTCCTGGTTTTTGACTATTATCATCTCTACCCCAAATATCTGGAAATGATCTTGCCTAACATCAAAGAAGGGAAGATTGTATATATGGAGGACATAGCTGAAGGCCTAGAGAGTGGTCCTGAAGCTCTGATTGGGCTCTTCACTGGCCGCAACGTAGGAAAACAGGTCATTGCAGTTGCTCCTGAATGAGTCTTCTTCTTTCTCTGCATTATTCTCCTAAAAAGTAATGTTTTTTACTCTTCTATTTATGTCCTTGTGTTTACACTTAAATTGGACTAAGTCTGCTAAATATATGACACTTATGAGCTTTATTCTCATAGTAAAAAGTTCATTCATAGGCTTTTGGTGTGACCAACTAGGTAGCTGGATATTCCACAGTGCTGAAATTAAAAAGAAGAAAGTCATCTGTCTGTGATAAAATTGCAGAACAGGTCAGTGATGTATATGACTTCAAACTTTCCCGGCCGATGAAATTGTTGTTACATTCAAACCTGATTCATTACTCGAAATCAAGACTACCCAGCTTTGAAGCTATCGAATAAGCTTTAATACATGTAGATTAGACTACTGCTGCTGAGTAGGGATTTGGTTGACCAAAGCAGGTGTAAAATGCAAATGATAAATCATAAATATAAAACCAAAACACAGAATCATTAAACAAGTTAAGGCAAATTTACCCCCAAAACATTCTTAAACATGAAAGAATAATCCAAAAGAAGAATCTCACAGTGACACATGAGATCACAAAAAAAGCTTAGTGTAAGTATTCAGACAGAAATGTGCAAGGGGACAGTTAATATCAGAATGTCTCCTGCGTGTGGTTGGCAGCCATTCATACACAGCCTTTCGAAGATAGCAAAGTCCTTTCTCACGTTTAATGAGAACTGAATCTGGTTTCTCAAGATTACCATGTATTTCTACAAAATTCGTGCATAAGAGTTAAGAAAGACTCTTACCTGCATCTGCTAATTTATCAGTGAGCAAAGGTGTACCAGCCAAACTTCAAATCATACCGAGCATCCGAGGTAGGCACTGATTTCAGCTCTTTCTTTTCCAAACTCTGATCAGGTGTCCGTGGCCTCAAAAACTAAAAAGGATTCCTTTTGAACATCCAAGGACCTTGGTGGTCCAATATCCTCCAGTTGCAATTTTCTCCATGGAAAAGAAAAGTGGATCTTCTCCAAAACATATCCAACCAACTTCTTAAATTTGTTATTGCATAAACCAATTAAATTTTCAAATTCTCAAAGGATTTACGTTAGATGAATATGTTAACTATCAAAAGAGTTAGATGAATGTTCATTACATAGCTGATTATCATCAATGTCAATGTAGGGTGTGGGGTGAAGAAATACAAGCTTGATATGGGAGAAGGACAAATTTCATCACAATCAAATGGTGGTACTTGAATGCTTTCAATCTTTATTATGAGCTTTATTCAAAAGCCTAGCGTATGCTATGAACCCCCGAAGGGACGATTCCACACAAGAATGTCCAAATTTCTGACACCTCATGCATTTGGTGGGCAGCCATTCATACGCAACCTTTTGACGATAGCAAGATCCTTTCGTATCAATTGAATCAGGTTGCTTTTGATTGGCATGAATTTCTACAAAAATCCTAGCAAAAGACAGTCTCACCTGCAGCCGTTAATTTATCAGTTTACACAGAGTACTAAATTCTTAACAAAATTTAAGGTTAATATTTTTAAAAATATGTTAGGGTTTGAAGAGATTTTCAACAATAAAGAGAAGCCAGAAATGTTTGCAACTTCCATCTCTGACAAAGGCTAATAGCAAAATGTGATGAAAATTTCCTCAGTTCAGAACTTTTAAAGTAACAATATTATGATTATAACAAAACATGAGAATGCCTTATCAATCAAAGTCCGTATAAATGGATCCGTGTTCCACTTTTGGGACAAAAAGGAGAATGGCCTAAGTACAGACAATGGGAGCAAATAAATGCCGGGTACCTTTCATACTCAACCTTTTGACTATAGCTACATCCATTACCATCCTCAATAATAGTAACTGAATCCGGTAATTTCTTATCGAACTCCACCTCCACGCAAATTCTTGCACAGTCCAATGTATTTCTTGATGCTGTTATTGTATCAGTAAATAACGGTCTGCCCACTAGACTACCAATCTTGCTTAGGGCTTCAGGAGACCACAGATGCAGCCTCAATTTAGGTAGCTTAATCCGAATTGGTAATGATTTCAAATCTTTCATCATTTCAAAACTCAAATCAGGACTCCATGACTTCAAAACCAAAGGTGTACTACCATCATAAAACCTAGGACCCTCAGCCAAGGCTATTTCCTTACCTTGAGCAGTTCCAAAATCCAAGATAAAAACTCCTGACCTTAGTGCCTTTACCTTCACATCCCCATATTTTCTCGACTCAGAGACTATCAAATTGTCAATAAACTTGTTGACTGAAGTTTGATTGTGGGTTGAATCAGGATCCACAAAATAAGCAACCACAGCGTTTTTCCATCTTCTAACCTCAGATGCAACATCCGTTTCCTTGACCAGAGCAAATTTCTTCCCATTACTGACTGCAGGATCTACGAACTTCAATTCCGTCCCCTTCTTCATTCTGCAGCACAAGCACACAGTTAAATTAGAGCACAAACAGAAGTAAGAAAAGCTAAAAAGAAAACTAGACAAACAAACAAACAAACAAATTAACAAACGTACGTACCTCAGGGTAGAAGTAAAGAAGAAAAAGAACAACCTTAGACAAAACTAAGCTTTTTAGGGTTTAAGGGAGGTAATGTAGATCAACAAGATAAACAGATATGGGTTTGGAAATGAATGTTTATGACAACACACATGCATATATAAGAGTAAAGAGGAAGTTTAAAGATCTTGTGGAAAACGGAAGATGACCAAGTGACCTAAATTCGCATGGCGATTTCAGCAGTCATCTTGGGAGAAGGAAGAGACGTTAAGTGTCATTAACACCAGCAAAAATTAATAAACTTGAAAGTAGAAATGGATTTGCTTGCCAACAATATTAAAATGCATGCAAGTCCCAAAAAGAACGCTTTGGTACCAAGTGCAATATCACCCTAACAATGCTTTTGGTTGAACTTCTGCTTTTGTGTGAATAACAAGTTTATGAAGGAGGAGATACCTTCAATTGAAGTGCTAAAACTTTGATTTCCTTAGTACTTATAGGTTGTGAAATTGATGAGACATGAACTGTTTATTGGTGTTTGAAATTTTTGGAATTTTGTCTTGGTGAGTTGACAAATATTATAGAGAGTTTTTCAATTAATTACAGAGAGAAAATCATTCCATATAACGAAAATGAATTATTCGAGTTATGATAATAACAAAAACAATAATAACAGTTAATTATTATATAAATTAAAGTAGGGGCAAACCAATAAATGTTCCTCAACTATTGGTTTTGTTTTCAAACAAATTTTCTATAAATTTTGTCTATAAATAATTTTGTCTCGGTCATGTATACTTTCTAAACTTCTCAATTGGGTCCTTCTGTCATTTTCTATTAGTCTATAAAGCTCGTAAGCATACTTTATGTATATGCAATAAAATTGCGTTGTTCTCAAGATTAAAAAAAAAAAAAAAAAAAAAAAAAAGAAGAAGAAGAAGAAGAAGAAGTTAACGAGCAAGATCAGGACTTGATTGATTATTTTCTGAATTATTTGGAATCTAATTGATAAAATTTATAGATTTGTGATCCAATTGAAAATGAGAATGAGCATAAAGGTTAGGGACTAAATTGATGTTTCTTTCAAAATATATAGGTCAGATTGTGTTTTTTTTTTATTATTATTAGAATGATATATTCAGATTATTAATCAAGATTTTCATGGCCAAACGAAGCATAATATGATAAATTAGTATTAAAAAAAAATACGATAGGCAAACCTCAATAACGTGCCTAACTCATACGGAAAATCTCAATGAGGTCCCCAACATATTTTCCATCTTGATTTACTTCCTAATGTATCGATGAATTCACAATTAGACCCTTCTGTTAGTTTTAATTAGCATGATTGTTAAGTATTCTTGTGAAACTCTTTGATTTCTCTTTTCTTAAAAAAAAAAAAAAAAAAAAAAAAAAAAAACATTACAGTGATTATAATTTAGTTTCTTTATTAGATCTTAAAAAATTCGATGGTTTTTTTAAAGACAGGAAAAATCACACAATTTTAGCATTGATTACTTAACAATTTTGTTAAGTGAATTAAGCCGATGGAAGGATATAATATGAATCCATTGATACAATGGGGACCTAATTAAAACCAAAAATAGGTTGGATACATAATTGAGATTGCTATAGAGAAATTTTATAATACACAAAGCGTAACTAGTGTCATGTACGGTAGTTACTCATTGGGCTCACTTTGATGAGAGAGATAGACACACAAAGAGAGATAGAAAAAAACAGGAGAGAGAAAATAAAAAATTTGAGCGGACTCGGAAATCTTTTTATCACTTTTGGTGGATATAGATATAATTTCTCTCTTTTTTATGCGTCTATCTCTCTCCTCAAAGTGGAGTCCAAGGAGTAACTAATGTACATGCCACTAGTTACTCCTTGTGTATTATAAAATTTTTCGTAATAAATGGATTGGTAAATTGAAGTTCTTGAGTGGGGTTTATGATATATCGAAAACTTACGAGAATGAAATAAACACTATTGATCTAAAAACTCAAGCACGAATTTTAGATGTCGATCTACCGCAACTTGTTGAATTGCATACAAATATAAAAAAATAGGCTTCATATTTTGTTAATTCAAAGAATACTGAAAATTGAAATAAAATTGAGATATTCTCTCATAAAGTTTTTTTAGTTAATAAAAGCTTCTTCTTCTTTTTTTCTAACTCATACATAAATACGAAATTCAGCCAAAATCTTAAACCAACTCAAAAGAAAAACAAAATAAAAAATTCAAAAAAAAAAAAAAAACCAAAATCAAGCTTATATCATGGTGAAGAAGCATCAAAATTGAGTCGACAGCTTGTTTTCAACTTCGTCACGCTCACCGCTCCATAAATTCTAGAGTACTGTTGATCCGCATCGGTTTATAGGTTTGATAGCAATTACGCTACACAGAATAAATCTCAAAGACAGATCATAGATAATTAATTTTTTTGTTTTGATAGTATCACTTATCAGAGATAAAAGTTCATTTTGGCAAATTTTGTACCTTGTAGGTTTCTATCATCTAACACTGAGGTATGGCCCTCCAAAAAGTGGAGAGTTTGTTTCCAATCGAGAAACCTCTGATGCATTAGTCATCAGTTTGCAAAGCGGTTAGGTTACTACATTGTTATAAATGCTGGAAGCAACGACAAGGAGAGTAAACCTCTTCATGAATGTTTTGGTCATTTGTTTTTTAATTCCTATCTATGCAACATATATATTGGCTGTCCTACGCTGTTAACATATGTTAGAAGTGGACTGTTATTGTAAAAGAACGATAGCTGGACATATTATTATCATCAATGTAATGAGTGGGAAGAAGAAAAACATAACTTGCTTCCATTAATGAACGATAAACAGAACAATTTTCTTAATTTGGAAGACCAAATTGCTTAAGGAACAGGTGTTCTGCGTCAGATTGCCCCAAGTACAGACAATGGAAGCACATAAATTGCGGTTGCCTTTCATAAATGGTCTTCCCACCATGCTGGCGATCTTACTTAGGGCCGCGGGAGTTCACAGATGGAGCCTCAACTTAGGTAACTTAATCCAAATTGGTATT